CCTGTGAGCCATAACCGTAGATGCCCCATCAGCAGCAGCAACCAAACAAAGCACGTAAACAGGCCCAACAAACCAAACCCACACAGCTGCAACAGACACTTCATAGAGAGCAGCAGAAGGCACAGGCACAAAAGTGACATTATACCAGCTGAACAGCAGCTGAAAATCCAGCTGGAAATCAATTTGAAAACCAGCTGGAAGCCCAGCTGTAATCAGGTGAACAGACGCATGAAAAGCAGCTGCAAAAGGAAGAGCAGAAAAGGCAGCTAAAATTCATCAGAAAAGGCAGCAGTAAAACCATAAGAGAAACCAGCTGGGAGCCCGCTGAAAGCCAGAAAATTCAAAAAGAAGAGCAGCAGCAGGAACCGAGGAAGGAATCAAATAAAACAGCTGAAAAATCAGCTGCAGCAGCATCTGCACAGTTCACGTGAACAGTCGCTTGAACAGCCCCCTTCTGACCAGAACCCACTGCTGCATAGGAAAAATAGTGCTGCCAAGACCGCCAAGATAGACCAAATATCAAGCTGCCAGAAAAAAAAAACCTCACAGCCCCCAGCACTCCTTCATTGCAAACCCAAAAAACAGTAGAGAGGCCAGCTGAGTGGCTCATACGAGCAAGAAACCAATTGGAAATCCAGCTGAAGTAGCAGAAAAACCAGCTGGAAATCAGTAAATTCAGCAGAGCAGGATCAGACTGTTCACGTGAACAGTAGACTTGGACAGCGAAGAAATGAAGCTGAACAGAACCGTGAAAAACCAACAGCTGAGAGGAAGCAATAGCAGCAGCCACCAAGGAGTTCACGTGAACAGTTATGTGAACAGTGCACGCCTGCCCAAATCAGAAACAAACAGCTGGATATTCCCCACAGCTGCAATGATGAGAAAAGCTGCAAATACCAAGCAAGAACAAAGAGCTCCATCTGAGGTAATCCCCCAGCTCATGAAATGGATCATGATATAAGCAAATAATCAAAGATTATCCAACTTTTTCCTTGGTGCTTTAACTCCTTGTCGATCCTGCTTTTGAATTAATTTGGTGTGGAGAGGAATCAACAAATCTTTGTGAGAATCCTCAGAGGCAGGTTCTAAAGCAGCGAGGTTAGCAAAACAATCAGCCAAGTAATTCGCTTCCCTATACACGTGAGCCAGACTAAAAGTCATGCCCTCCAATAAACTCATGATCTCGTCGCAAATCTTCAGAACTTCCATGCCCTCTTGTGTCCTTTTAACACCATTTTTGACCATAGTCGCCGAGTCAGTTTCAATTTGGAGGGCATAGTCTAATAGCCCATAACTTTTATACAATAATAAACCATCCTTAAGAGCACGCAGCTCAGCCTCCATATTAGAACAAACCCCATAGAAAAATGAAGCAGCCAACACTAAGTGCCCCCATTCATTCCTACTACAGCTCCACCCCCGGCTCTTCCAGGATTACCTTTCGATACCCCATCCACATTTAGCTTTAAACAACCAGAAGGAGGAGGGGACCAGTCGACCCAAATGATCTTTGGTCTTAGCTTATGCCTCATATCCACCTTTAAAGTCCTCAATAATCCATACCCGTCATGCCTTCCATTGCCTGCGGTCTAACGCCATAAGCCTGGAGACGCAAAGAAGAGCAAATATCAAGGAACACAGCATGGGCTGAGAGGGATATACCTTTCATAAAACCTTCTGCACCTCTCCTCCATAACCTCCAAATACCACTAATGAAACACCTCTTAACAGTTATGACTAACAGTGTGTTTTTTAATATTCTGATAAGTCTCATCATACGAACCATAGGAGAATCAGCTGCAAAAAATTTGAAAGCCGCATAATGCAGCAAGCTTCCCCCAGACCTCTTTAGCGAAACCACACTGTATGAACAGGTGAGGGGAAGATTCCACATCCATACGACACAGGGGACATCTACTAGCCAATTCAACGCCAATTCATTGGAAATTTGAGTCCACTAACACGGCTTTCAGATGAATCTTCCAACCCAGCAGTTTTGCACTTGGGAAGACAGATTGGTTCTAGAGCGCAGAGGCAATAGGCACAGGGTCATTCGAAGATCTCACCGCTTGCCAAGCAGATTTTACATTGAACTCTCCAGACTCGGTTAAAGTCCATATCAGACGATCTTCCTTTTTGCATATTCTAACCCCAGAATTTTGGATTTCATGCTTTAATTGATCAGAGACCTGGACCCCCAAAAGCTGCCACTGCCAGTCCCCACCTGCCCATAACGCATCCAGACTTGGAAAGCACAAGGGAGAGACGCCATACCTGAGCAGAAAAGGACCAGATCCAGTTCAGTTCGAGCACCAAAAATCCATAGACCTCCCATTCCCCACCATAACCTTGGAGTTATCCAAGACCGATCTAAAGAAAGGTTGCAGCATACGGAATGTACGAGATTTACCAGTACCCGGACACCTCAACATATGTTTACCGTTTAAGAATTTAGCTTTAAACGTGCTCGCCCAAAGAGAATCACCCTTAAGAATTCCCCACACCTGCTTCCATCTAAAAGCCGTTTGAATGTCTTCAAATTTTCGAATTCCAAGACCTCCCTCTTGCTTCGGTCTTGAAATATCCGACCATGAAACCCATTGCCTTTTCCTCTCACCCATTCTGCCAGACCACATGAAAGAGGCCATTAATGACTTCAACTTCGCAAGGATGCCTTTGGGTACGCTTAGACAAGAGAGTAAATGAATAGGAATCGCATTGAGAACCGATTGAATGAGCACAATTCTACCCATATTAGAAAGCAGGCATACATACCACCCTTCTAGTTTTGCCTTGAACTTTTGTATCACATCCTCAAAATCCTGCAATTTATATCTTCCTTTTATCATTGGACAGCCCAGGTAGATGAAGGGACACTTTTTAATCGGAATTTGAGCAATTCTGGATAAAGCCATTTTCCTGCCCCCAGGAATTTTGGACGAGCAAATTAAAGAGCTTTTATGCTTGTTTATTCTCTGCCCAGAGCTATTCTCATATCTAGTCAAAAACTTCATCATTCGTTCCATGGAGAGTTTATTTCCCTTAAGAAACAGCAGAGTATCATCTGCAAAAAACAGATGAGAAACAAGAAGAGCACCCCTTTCTGCATGAAAGGCCTTGATCCTACCATCACCATACAGCCTCGTCAAGCCCCTGCTTAACACTTCCTCTGCTAGAATAAAGAGAGCTGGGGAGATCGGGTCACCTTGTCTCAATCCTCTAGATGAAGGAAAATACCCAAATCTTTTCCCATTCAAGCAAACCGAGAAAAATTGATTCTTCAAGCATTTGCCAATGATAGAGACAAGTAGATTTGAAAAGCCAAAGCATTCTAAAGTTTTTTGTAGAAAGTCCCACTCAATGCGATCGTACGCCTTCATCATATCCAATTTTAGAATCACATTGCCAGCCTCAACCTTTCGATCAAGTTCTCCAACCATTAACTGAGCTAATGAGATGCAATCTCCAATCCCTCTCCCTTTGACAAAGCCATGCTGTGCATTAGAGATCAGAGAAGGAAGAAGGACAACAAGTCTATTGGAGAGAACCATGGTAAAGACTATACAGGAAATTGCAGAGGCTTATCGGCCTAAACTCTGTAAAAGTGCTAGGCTTTGCCACTTTAGGGATCAAAACAAGGAGAGTTGAATTTACAGACCTTGGGACCTCTCCCCCACCCAAAAAAAGTTAACTGCCTCCAACAGGTCATTTTTTACGATTTCCCAAGCAACTTGGAAGAATTTACCAGAAAATCCATCAGCTCCAGGAGCACTTTCCACAAACATAGAGAAGACAACCTGTTTCAATTCTAGGGAGGTAGCAGCCATAGTCAATTTCTCATTATCCCCTAGTCCAACAAGCTTAGGAATGACCCCAAATAACTCATCATCAAGTCTATGGTCTTCTGTTTTGTACAGTTTTGCAAAAAAAGAAACGGCATTTTGAGCAATTTCCTCTTCAGATTCACACCATTCCCCATCTTCACCTTTAATTCTCAACAATCTATTCCTCATAGCCTTACCTTTGGCCAAAACGTGAAAAAATTTGGTGTTCCTCTCCCCTTGTAGTGCCCATTTAGCATTAGCTTTTTGTCTCCAGTACATTTCCTCCAATCTAAGGGTGTCCTCTAAATTCTTTCTTGCAGCTTCCAAGTTAGAAACAGTAGCCTCCGAGTAGTTATCATCCACACTTCTTTCGGCCTCCCTCAGTGCCAACTCTTGTTTATTAATCTTTTCAAAGATATTTCCAAAAACCTCCTTGTTCCACTTTTTGATTTTGAGCTTAAGCATTTTCAGTTTGAGAAAGAGATTCTCTATTGGGTTCCCTGCGTAACTTCCACTCCAATTGCATGCTACTAATCCTCAACCCACATATCCAGAAATTTGAAATAAGAAATTCTTTGTTGGCCATCATTCTCCGCAATCTTGATCAACATGGGGCAATGGTCAGAGCATCCTCTTGCCAAATGCATGACCTGAGAAATCTGAAACTTGGCATTCCATTCCGTGTTGATAAACATTCTGTCGATCCTTTGCCACATTCTAGTCCCTCCATCATGACCATTACACCAAGTGAAATTATTCCCTCCATAACCACAGTCAATAAGACCCTCCGATTGAATACATTCCCCAAATTCATCCATTGCCAACACTGAAGGAGAAGCGGCCCCCATTCTTTCATTTGATCTCATCACAATATTAAAGTCCCCCATAACCAGCCAGGGCATATCAAAAGATGCAGAGATAAATTTTAGGTGCTCCCACAGAGGTCTTCTTAACAAATACTCACAACATCTGTACACCACGGTTATCAAAACAGGATCAGCACCCTGGTAGGAGATAGACACAGTCATTGCTTGTTCAAAGTCCAGCATTTTCTTTACTTCCAAGTTGTCATTCCATAGTAACCACATATTTTTCTCTGCCATTGTGTTTGCCATATAAGAATTTAACCCCACAGCAAGACCAAAATTTCTTAATTTCGTTGTAGACATCTTTGGTTCAATAACGGCCAGTAGACTAACCTTGTTCATCACAATCAATTTCTTTAATCTGCTTCTTAAGCTTTCTTTCCCAGCTCCCCTTACATTCCACATAATAAAATTCATCATAAAGAAGTGGTTTCAGCATTACCTCTGGGACTACCCCCAGTACTGGAGTTAGAAGTGTTCCCTAAAACTTGATTAAGCAGGATCATTCCCTGAATTTCATCATCAGCAGCAGCCTCACTTTTTTTTTTTTTGGGAGGTAAGGGGGAAGGGGGACTTGAACCCTTGACCTCAAGAAGGCAAAGCTTTCACAAGACAAGGAGTACCATTGGACCAAAGGCAGCCTCACTTAAATCAGCCCAGTTCTCTGAGCTTTCTTGGTCAGAGTAAAAGCCCTTGTCTGGTGGCTCTTTGTCCCTTATCAGCCCATTATCATCATCTACGGTGCAAATTTGTTTTCCTCTAGGCTCGTATGAATGATCCACAAGGAAGAAAGAAGAGGTAGAAGAAAGAGATTGTTTATTCAATAATCACACTATTATACCAACCGTTTGCTGCACCTCATCAGGCCCTGTCCCCTGAGTTTGAGAGGGAGTGCCGATAACCTCGTAGACCTTCATGCCCTCAAAGCTCCGTGATGGACTTCCTGCATTTGAAGACATTTCATTTTCCACTCCTACTCCTTGAATTCCTTCCTGATTAGACGTTGAGAGGGACAAGTCCTCTTTTTCTTTTGCTTCTAATCCTCCAGTGGTGCTCCAGTCTTCGAGATACATAGTTTCTTGGGATTGGCGGGGTATTACCGGCGGTTTATTGAGGATTTCTCTCGATTGGCTGCACCTATGACGAAGTTGACCCAGAAAGATGTCAAGTTTGTGTGGAATGATTCTTGTGAGAATGCATTCCAAGAGTTGAAGAAGAGGCTTACTTCAGCTCCTATTCTGATAGTTCCAGAACGAGTACAGAGGTACACGGTCTATTGTGATGCCTCGAAGGACGGGCTGAGATGTTTTGATGCAGTCTGGGAGGGTAGTAGCTTATGGTTCTCGACAGCTAAAGAATCACGAGCAGAATTACCCCACACATGACATGGAGTTAGCAGCCATTGTCTTTGCCTTGAAGGCTTGGCGTCACTACCTGTATGGTGAGCAGTTTGAAGTATTTTCGGACCACAAGAGTTTGAAGTATATTTTCACACAGCGGGACCTCAACATGAGGCAACGCCGGTGGATGGAGTATTTAGAGGACTATGACTTCACTTTGCATTACCATCCTGGTAAGGCAAACGTGGTGGCTGATGCACTTAGCCGAAGGTCACGGAGAGTTTTGGCTAGTGTAGCTTCCCGGGAGTGGCAGATGCTCGAGGCTGTGGGACAGTTCGGGCTATGTTATATGGGTAAGGCTCAGGGTACTTTGGAGAGTTTGGTGACTACACCATCTCTACTGAGCAGGGTGATTGAGTCACAGAGTCAGGACACAGAGCTATTGTCCATCCGGGACCGTGTACAGGCAGGTATGGGTGACGAGGGCTGGGCTACTCACTCAGATGGTAGTCTTCGATATCGAGGAAGGGTTGTGGTTCCTCAATTGGCAGATCTGAGGGAGGAGATCCTTAGGGAGTTTCATTGCTCCCGTTTTGCAGTTCATCCAGGGGGCACGAAGATGTATCATGATCTTTGTCGCCAGTATTACTGGAGTGGAATGAAGAGGCAGGTTGGCGATTTTGTCAGTCGATGTCTCACGTGTCAGCAGGTTAAGGCTGAACACCAGAGACTAGCGGGATTACTCCAGCCTTTGGAGGTAGCTGAGTGGAAGTGGTAGCATATCACGATGGATTTTGTGACCCATTTGCCACGGACATCGCGGGGTCATGACGCGGTGTGGGTGATAGTAGACCGGCTTACTTAGTCGGCACACTTTTTGGCTATGCAGATGACCTTCACATTGGAGGAATTCTGCAGGTTGTATATACGGGAGATTGTCCGTCTACATGGAGTACCTATATCTATTGTATCGGACCGGGATCCCAGGTTTACGGCTCATTTTTGGGAGAGTTTTCAGCGAGCCATGGGGACACAATTAATGATGAGCACTGCTTTTCATCCCCAGACAGACGGTCAGTCTGAGAGGACTATCCAGACTTTAGAGGACATGCTACGGGCATGCGTCCTAGATCTTAAGGGTAGCTGGGAAGATCACTTATCCTTGGTGGAGTTTGCATACAATAACAGTTACCAGGCGAGCATAGAGATGGCACCCTATGAGGCACTATATGGGAGGCCATGTTGTTCCCCGGTTTGTTGGACGGAGGTAGGAGAGAGGTCTTCTACGGGTCCGAAATTGATCAGAGACACCTCGAAGAAGGTGAACTTGATTCGGAAGCATCTTCTCACGGCTCAAAGCCGGCAAAAGAGTTATGCTGATAGACGGCGGCGACCTCTAGAGTTTGAGGTGGGAGATCATGTCTTCTTGAAGGTTATGCCTAAGAGAGGAGTGGTCCGGTTTGGTAAGCGGGGGAAGCTGTCACCGAGATACATCGGGCCCTTCGAGGTACTTGAGAGAGTGGGTACAGTTGCTTACCGGTTGGCATTACCACCAAATCTATCGAGTGTTCATGCAGTATTTCATGTCTCTATGCTTCGGAAGTACACCCCACATCCGACTCATGTGGTGGATTAGGGAGAGCTTGTTGTTGATGCTGATGGGACTTTCGAGGAGGGACCGGTGCGCATCATGGATAGCCGAGAATAGGTTTTGCGAGGCAAGACCGTGCGGCTAGTGAAGGTACTGTGGCAGCATCGAGGAGTAGAGGAGGCGACATGGGAGCGCGAGGACACTGTCCGTACTAGTTATCCTTTCTTGTTCGAGGATGGAGGTACATTCTTCTGGTCATTTAGCATTAATTGACTGTTGTATATGCATGTGATTGTATGTGCATGTGTATGTGAATTTCGGGGACGAAATTCTTTTAAGGGAGGAAGAATGTGAAACCCGGGAAAAATTTTAACTTTTTCTGAAAAAAAATGGCAAAATGGTAATTTGCTATTATAGTGTGGGTTAAAAAAAACTGGTATTTTTATAGACCTCGAATGATGAAACGGACCTCACCGTTGGATTCGTCTCACCAAATCTAGTTACCCAGACAAATTTCGTCGAATTTTGAGATAGTCAGATTTTTTACGTTTTTCGAGGTGACGGGTGTTCGATGACCCCTAAAAACGAAATTTTTATAAAAATTTGAAAATTTAAAAAATATTTTAAATAAATTTCATATAAAATATTTTGAGCTTAAATCGGTACGAAATTTAATCGTTTCGGGATGAAAACGGACTCGGACAAAGGACGACACTTGGCGCGACGAGGGCCAAGTGTTTAGAAAAAAATATAAAAGTGGGTTGGCCGGCTGGATCAGATCCAAGAGCAAAGAAGAAAAAAATATAATTCTTCAAGCTTTTTTTCGCCGATTCCGGAGTTCCGTCGGTCGGAATTCGTCGGGCCAAGAATTAAAGTCGATCTACGCGACGAGAGCTACGCGTGGGTACCAAAAACAAAGATTTTCACCGAAGATTCAAAGGGAGGATTTTGGAGAAATCTAAGCTTTGGACTTCAATCTTGTTCTTGAGGCTTCCTACAAATTCTTTACGCTTCAAGAGGTAGGGTTCCTCCTACTCGGACCTATTTCTAACCTAAGGTGTCCATAGGGTTCATGTGGGCTGTTTTGGGTATTTCTAATATTTTTCCATTATGATTGGTGCTATGGAAATGGGTAGGATCAATTCTAGTGTGAATTGGTAGTTAGAAAGTGCTAGTTTGTGATTTCTTGAATGTTTAGATAATTGGTTATATAAAAATCATATATTCTGATTTTTATTTTGTTTGAATGATCCATATAAAATCTTGGCTTGATTTTGGTATATGGAAGTATTTATGTAATCCCTTGGAAATTGGGATCATGTGGGCATGCTTTGTGTTTTATATTATGCCTTGTGAATTAAATGTAATATTAGCATGTATTATGTGTTATCATGTTGATGGAGTGTTGATATATGCTCTTGGATATATTGAACTTGAAATGGTTATGTGATTATATGCAAATGATATTAATTGTCATGGTATACAATGATATTTAAAAATTGTCATTTGGCATGCATTGCAATATGGACATGGAATTAACATCACATTCATGGGCTACATGCATGAGTGTGGGTGTAGGGTTGCATGGGGTGATCAACACCAACATTGGTACTTGATGGTAGGCTCGGAAAGTGGGATGGAACGTCCTACGGAGTCGCACGGTGACATGCATAAGAAAACTTGTGTCGGGTATAGCAAGTAGGGCTAGACACTCCCTCGGGTGAAAAACCCGACCACTTGGTTCATACACTTACCGGCGGTGAAATTCCAGAAAAGTGTAACGGCGTACGGAGCCGGAGGTGCGATTCCTGAATCCGATACCCCATAAAGGCACATGATTTTGAAATATAAATTATTCATTTGATGGGAAACATCCAAGAATGAATTAGTTTTATGACATATGGTTGATTTCAAAATGATCTTTGGATGTGTTTCATCAAAGACGTTTGTTTTACACGTAAGTGTCGCATTGTGTTGTGGGAGTCGGTGTGGGCTCGGGATAGCATGCATGGGTGAGTTTCATCTCATTACTTGGCATGGCATCATGATTTTCCAACATTGTATTATATGTTATTGTTGGAGGGAATACTTGTTGTGAAATGTTGCATTTATACATTGCATATGCATTTTAGGTGATGAGTAGCCTCTGTAGGGATTATTCTACTGGGCATTGGCTCACCCTATACGGGAAACATTTCAGGTGTGGGTCATGCACCAATGGACTGCTCACAATCAGGGTCACATGGTTGAAGAAAAGCCGACTTGTGGCTTCCAATCCATTTTTTTTTGTAAAAGTAAATTTGTAATTAAATTTTAGCATGTAATGTGTAAAGGAATTGTAATAGAGTATATATGGACTGTTTTAATATAACCTTGCATATTTTGATATAAATATGATGATTGGACCCGGTGTGGTCAAGTTTTATGTATAAAATAGACCCTGTGTGGTTATGGTATTATATTGGACCTCGGATGGGTCATGTAAATGTTGATTGCACAGATTGTGTTTTGGGGTAGAGCTTCCTGTACAAAGGAGACTCTGCCCGGATTTCGTTAAATTATGGATCCCGATAAATGGGACACAACGATACGATATCGAGTTATACGGTATCCACCGGCATTCCGTGGGTTGATGGAAAATTAACGGACCCCATGAATTTGGGGTGTCACAATCACGTCGCATTCATGCTTCAGTATAACCATTTTATCAATAATTGCAGCAACATAGTAGTAATATTAAATCCAAAATTATCAATTGAAGCAATAAAAAAATCTATTGCAATAACAACGAAATTATACATGTTAAATCTTTTTAACATGAAAATTCAAAAAATATATAAAGACGCTCATGAAGAAAGAAAAGAATGACATTAGTTTGAAATGAGATTTATGCGAGGTGTTACAAATATATCACTAAGACACTATGACCTTTTTATTTTAACATGAAATATGACATATATTAAAGTCATTCGACTTGTTTTCACATAAAGAATTCATATTTGAAGTCCATTTATTTATTTAAAATTTTTAAAAGTAACCCTAAGTTATATAGAATCATAATTGATGACCTAATTAGCGTATTGGTGATTAATTTTTATACAAGTCGTCACATTACTAGTACTCAATGCCCTTACCAATGGAC